CAGGGATCCTGTTACACTTAGTGCACCTGTCCCGTCCATCATCTCCCCTCAAGGCTTCAGGGAGAAGACCACCATCTCCCTGCCTACCGGCACCACTCACACTATAGCCGAGGCTAAGACCCGGCCCAAGGTTACCACCGCTCGCAACACTTGAGGGGTAACCCGTGGCATCGCAAGACTGACTTACGCCAGCGCCAACCCCTTGGTGACTAACGCCACCTCCGTATGCAGGACCATAGAAACTGGAACCACACTGATTGTTCCCAATTCCATGAGTATCCGCAGCACTACCGTGGAACCCAGGCGCCCCACCAGGGTAACCCCCGGTAGGAGCCCCTCCACTCGGGCCTCCATAAGGCCCAGCGGAATCTTGGCCTCCACCATAATGCCCAGGACCTGGCGGTGGAGCTGGGGCATGTCCATGCCCACCAGTTCCGCTCCCACCTTGACCAGGTGGTCCGCCTTGCCCACCACCTCCCCCGGGAGGAGGAGGAGGGGGTGGTCCAGCTTGAGCGCGTTCATGCCGAATATTGCAGCGTGCACATCGCTCAAGGCCGTCATTTCCGAAGTAACTGTGATTCTCACAAACGTGAGTCCCACAATCCGTACAGAGATACATGGAGACCTCCTGAGCATTCTTGCGGCATGCCCAGCATTTCATTTTCAAGAAGTGACAATTGCAACAGTCCCCGTCGTCACCACGGCAAAGCCCGCAGAACTCACGACTGCATGTCACACACGAGAATTCAGCATTCGGGTGCCTACGGTCGTTGGGATCATCGAGGGCACAAATCTTTGGCGCGTCTGGGCCATCACCGCCGGGAGCCCCTCTTGCAGCCGGCGCTGAGGCCTGTCCACGATCCGAAGGAGCTCCAGCAGTCCCTCGCCTATCGCCGGGACTCTGGGTGTCGGCGCTGGCTCTACTCCCAGGAGTCCTCCACTCATCACCAGGACTCTGGATGTCGGCATGGACCCTATTATCCCCACCACCTCCTGAATGACGACCTGGGTTCGGAGAGACGTTCCCGCTATCGCGGATTGGCCTATCAAAATTCGGAGAGACGCTCCCGCTATCGCGGATCGGCCTCTCCCCCCTCGGTTGTCGACTCCGGACCTCAGATCCCCTATCGGGGACGGCAGCAGGCCTCGGGCTCCTATTCCTACCCGCATCCCTATTGGGGGAAATAGAAACGTCCCCCCTTGCGCGCGCGCGGGGACCACCCCTTGCACGCTCCGGTGGCGAATGTGACCTGTCAGGCAACCCCCGAACCCTCCTGCTCCTGCTGTCGGACCTCTCCCTAACGGGATAGATGGGATGCCTGTCTGCGCGAGAAGGATCGACCCTATCGGGCACATTCGGCAAAACATGATCAGGCAAATCAGCACCTCCGCCTGGTCTCACCGGACGGCCAGTACCCCGGCCGTCACCTTCCCCGGGTGTGGGCGTCGGAGACCTGATCCTATGTCCCTGCCCCGCAAACGCATTGTAACCAACATTCCGTCTATCTCTGGGTTGTTGAGGAGCCTCATTAATCTGCTGGACACCCTGAATGATGCCAGCGGCCTCGTCAAATTGACCCTCCATTTCAAAGAGCTGAGACATGATTCTGTTGTTCGCTGCGCTAAGATTACGCACGTTACCATCGATAGCGCTTACTCTCCGCATAACGCCTTCAAGCGTACTCCGGAACGAGCCAAGTTCTCGCCTAACGGCAGGCTGCACTTGGTCACTGCTTGCAGGAAGATTACGGATCTGTCCTTGAATACCATCAACGACCCGATTCACAATTGCCGATCTCGCTTCATACTGTTCAACATGTGATTTCACGGTTTCAAACCTTGAAATGATGTCGTCATGATCCCGACGTTGACGTTGAATTCCTCGAGCCAGATCCTGCATCTTCCGATTGATCTCGTCAACAGCCTCATGCCAGTCCTGCGGGGAATCATGCCCTGATGGTCTATCGACCTCCTGAGAACCCCTTCCACTCTGCAGTCTAGACACTCGATTAACAAGACGAGTGTGCTCTTCTTTGACCCCTTCAATAGATTCAGAGGCCCACTTGGCAAATGTCTCGTGTTCATGGAGAACTTCCCCGATCTTCAGGTTTAACTCCCTGAAATTCGCGTTCACCACACTGCTACTGGCCCTATCGGACAGTTGTGCAACAGGATTCAAATTCACTTCACCTGCTGGTGTCCGAATCCCGACGGTTTTCTCTACCGAGAACATCCGTTTCTCAAGCTTGTCCAAATCCTTAAGGATCTCGTCCTCAGAAGCAGCATGGCTTCTGCGGGCAGCCTCATTATTCTCCTGAATCATCAGGCGAAGCCGATCAGTTGATGCCTCATTGTCCCTGACAGATTCATGGACCTCGTGGGACAGTAGGTTAATCCTCTGCTCCACGACCTCGGCTTGCTCATCGATGGCTTGCCTCACAATGGCCTTGCTATCGGGAATAACTTCCCTTGCGAACCGTTGAACTATCATTCGCATCCTCCCGGCATCAGATTGAGTCGCAACCTCAGCTGCCAGGCGATCGACCTTGTCCTTCGTCCGTTGACTCTCGTCGCTCCATTCCCTTCGCATGGAACTCACCTGACCGTTCAGTACCCTGATTTGGTCAGCAAAGATGTGGAACGCCTTCGCGACTGAGCCAGAAACCTCACCTCTCTCGAGCATCTCTTGGATGTGCAAATCGAACACCTCCTTCGCCCTAGCGTCACCTGATTCGCCGGAAGACTGGGATCTAAGGGCGGGAGGAGTCGATATCTCGATCCTCTCAGGAGCCCCACTAGCCCCGGCATGTCTTCTGGGGTCATCCACGGGACAATCACCAACCCCAGATGGCCTGCTAGGAGTAGAACCCCTTCTACGGCTATCGCCGGAACGGGGATCAACATGGGACGCACGAGACTCGGGAGTAGAGTGGATGTGAACATCAGCAGGATCAGGCATCTCCTCATCCTGCGGAGTTGAGTCCATTGGTGAGGGGCTAGCCCTCCTCGCCTTCGACCTATCGGTCTCAATGGCCAGGGGTGACGGTCTCTTCGCAGAAGCACTACGTTCCCTGGCGGTCGAGCCCCATTGAGGTGTGAACTCGTTGCTGGACCTTAGCGTTTCAAGGTCACTGGTATCTCGCCCTAACGGGCTAGCGATCGACGGACGATCCTCGATTCCGAGTGCATCGGCAAGCCGGCCATCTCTTGCACCTCTCCCAACGACATCGGCAACCCGCTCAGTGACTCTCGGCGAACCAGTAACCCGGTTCGAGTTCACGTCTCTCTGATTTAACGGACCTCCAAACGTAATGTTGGGAAAAGGGGGAACATTCGGGGTATCACCAATCGCCGGGGGACCTACCGGTCCCTCACGGTCATGGATGGCCTCCAATCCCCGAAGAACTTCCCGACTGTCCCTGGCTCTCTCTCTCTCGCTTCGGGCATCCCTGTCAACGCGAAGGTCCCTGGCGGCTCCACGAGAGAGGCTCCTGGGCCTCGCAGCATCACGGATCCTAGCATTTCGTCGTGGTTGGTCCTCCTCCTCATCACGGCGATCCGCAAACGCGGCATACTCGTCATCATCATCGACCTCAAACTTGGCAGCGGCGGGACTAGTCCTTGCAGTCGCACGGCTGCCTGCATCTCGGCGCGAATGGCTCTCCTCCTCATCCGCAAAATTGTAACCTTCGCCATCATAAGACTCAGATTTGGCAGTATTAGGGTTGGGCCTACCGGCATCAGATCCCTGCTTTGAGCTACTGCCCCAACCTGCGGTTGATTTCAACAGATCATCGTATCCGAAGTCTGAGAACTTCCGCTCCTCGTGCTCATCAAACTGACCTGGATTTTGAGAACCAGTGGATCGGCCCGGGATACCTCCCGGAACCAGAACCATAGTCCCTGGTCCCTGCGGCCTACTCTCAAACTCATCCGAGACCTGCGACTCACCTGGAACAAGAGATCTCGGAGGTCGAATCGGCATGGCCTCCGGGTCATCCGAATGAGGGCGGGCCATGTCCATCGCCATGCTGATGAAGTCAAAATGTCCACGCCTGTGACCTGATTCAGAGCCACTCCTATCGGAGTAAACCCTTCGCTGCTCGTCGTCAGTGGCCTGGCGGAAAATACGATCGTCTCCATCGTCGGCGTACCTGCCACGGCTCCTGGGTGTATCCCTACCGGGATCTTCACCCCTGCGGTCCTGACCTGTCGAACCTGCTTCGAAATCCTCGTAGTCATAGTCCGGTAGGTCCTCACCTGAGCGGAGGCCACCTAGGATGGCCTCCTCATCCACGACGCTCCTTCGAGATCGTGGGGTCGACATAGAGCTTGTAGTTGATGGTCTCAAGCGCGTAGGAAAGTCCTACGGCTGATAACCTGTGATTCGGGCACGAGCCTGTGCCCAGGCAATGGGTAAGTTGGGGTAAACAAGCCACAAAAGAAAGGTTCCCCAAAAGCAAACCAATCCCCGGTCCCAAAGATCAGGGTTTCCCACACACCAGAGAACAACAACCAAAGGAAAACAAACCAAACAAGAAAAGGGTTAACCCGCAACCTTGGTCGACAACAGGCCGCACGACTGGTCCCTACCAACCTGGCGGCGGCCCGAGGTCTCTTTCTCCCCCGAGATGCCGTCGGTCGACGCAGGGGTTCGGCGACGCCCATTCGAGGCGCGACGGAACCCAAAACTTGAGCCAAACACCACAGGTCAGTCACTACCGCGACATCCCTGGTGATGAAATAAACCATGGCTAATCACATTGTTTGTTTATTTGTCTGGGTCACATCCTCGAAATTATCCTGCAAATGATGGTCCAAAAGGATACCACCCCAAAAGAATGGGTGTCTCTTCTTTGAGGGCATCCTTTTTGAGCTCATGTTCACGGAAAGCGAAAGGGAAACCGCTTGTTTTTGGTCTGATGTTTTTTTTGTGGGGGGAGGTCCCCTATTTTCCGACAAATCCTGTGAAGCACAAGAAGTCGTCCGAGTCGAGGCACCTTGGCGGCCTCCGTGTCGCCCTTCTCGGCGAAGTAGTTTATGACCTGAGAGAAGGTTCACGGATCGGAGGGTTCCACACAAAAGGGTCAGACAGATGAACGTGGAACCCCCAAAAAAAACGATCGGGTGGAGGCTTTGTTGGGGGAACGGGGGGGGAACATGCGATTTTGAGGTTCCGGGTTGATCAAGAAAGTACACCCCCACTTCCCGGGCAGAAACCCCCAAAAGACTCTTGAGCACGTCGACGTCGACATATGAACCCATAGCATGAACTCCTTTGGCCCAAGGATTCAAAATGGCCATGCGTTCATGGATATACAATCATCCTTGGAAACTGTTGCGTCTCCAATTTGGCTTTCGGTTTGGGTAATCCTGGCTGTCGCTCCTAAGAACCACTGCCATTCAAATCGGGTTCCTCGGCTTCCGAAAGCCGGCGCAGCTTTGGGGTTGGACCCTTTCAAGCCCGGCCCATTTCTGCCATAAAGCCAAAACCGCTTCTTTGCGGGCTCTCCAGCTTTTGGCCCCGAGACTTTTCGGAGACTTCTGCCTTGCGCCGGATGCAGGCCGTGAGCGGCGTGGGGGAAAAAACCCCGGACCTTGCTTTGCGCAGCCAGTGCCAGGGGTTCCGGGAGAAAACAAAATCACTGAGGCAACTCCAAGCCATCCATTTCCTGCGGCTTTCGGGAAAATTCCCCGAAGGCAATCGTGCCCGAGAGCGACCTGGGCCAGCCGCCGTGTTGAAGGAGGACAGGTCCAGGCTGTGGCCTCCCTCCTGCCAATCTTGGGGCAGATAGATCAAAGGAGTTGGGGTGCCAATTTCTTCGGGTGCCAATTTTGGGGAATACCCCCGTTTGTGGGAGTCCCGCGATTTTGACACCCCGCTCAATAGGGGCTTACTAGGTGAAAGCCCTCCGTTCCCCACAGCGCCCTCGGCGGTATATCCTCCAATGCGGATGCAAAACATGAAGCCACCAGACTCTGCTATTAAAGCAGGTTTTCAGATTTCGACTTAGCAAAGGGGTGCAAAGGATCCTGCAGCCACAAAGGGTTTGATCCTTTCCTTTCAGGCCACCCACAAGGCGTTCCCTCAGCTTGACGCAATATCTTCAGCTTCTACCTCATATTTCACAACACACAATTGGGAGACCCAAGACCTCGAGTTATGTGGGCGTGTCAAAAAATAGGTACCCAAGATGGTTGCCCTGGTAAATGGAAACAAGGACTAAAACCTGCGGTCCAGTTCCGAGTTTGATGTTGACTCACACCCCTGTGACTTTCTCAAGATCCTCTCCCCTTCCCCCAAATACGGTTTTGTTTGGAGACCCCAGAGGACCATTTGGTCCCAAAACACGAGACCGTCTCCCCAATGGCCCAAACGAGGAGACCCCCATTGTTCCCGGGGGTGCGAAACGACCCGCTTCGCTCCTTGGCGCGGTCCAGCCACTCGCTGGCCTTGTCCAGGTTGCCCTGGCGGCAGTAGCCCTTGATCACCGCCTCGCGCCCGCGCACGCGGGGCGCCGGGCGGACCGGAGGCGCACGCAATGACCCGGATATAAACCATCCCTTGCTGGCTGGTTTCCTTGGGGAACTAGCGGCTTCCTCAAGATGACTCGACCAGTCTCCGGGTGTTGGTTGAGTGAATGAACCGGATTGCCGAAAGAAGGAAACCATGGAGAACGAATGGTTGATCTCGGGGTCACTACAACTCATTCCCTGCTGAGAACCAGCAAGCCAAAGGTCCCCCACCCACCAACAAGGGGTAGCTCCAACCACCAAAACGGGCATACACCACAGCATTTTTTGAGGCTGCGCCTTTGGTTGGTTTCCTTTAGTTGTCCATTGAGAAACACCAACCCACATGGGCGTCTCTTTTGAGTTGGTATCCTTGTGGCGGTTTGAAAGGAGAAAACCTAAAGGAAAGCCATTTTGTGGGTGCAAGTCCCAAAACAAGACACACACCACAGGAGTTTTGGTGGGAGTTTGGAACTCCAATTTCCTGAAGAAATCCCTGTGGTTGGATTCCATGAAAACAATCCTGCTTCGGTCGCCAAAATGGGGGGGTCATCCGCGCACGGAAAACGCGGTCATCTGCGCACGCTATCGACAACGCGACATTTGGGCATTCCGCGCACGTGATTTCCGGTCATCCGCGCAAGGTATCCGCGCACGGTACGTGGCGGAGGGGGCGGGAAGGGGGCGGGGGGGTAGTAAGCTTCGACGTTCACGCACGCACAATGGGGGGGGGGTCGGGGGGAAGGAGATGGGTGGATGGTAAGCGTCGGTGGGAAGCGGGGTGGGGGGGGGGAGGGGGTTAGTTTCGATGTTCACGCGAACCAATTCACGCGGGTGGGTGGATGATAAGCAACGGTGGCAAGCGGGGTGGGGGGGGATGGGGGGGGTGGTAAGGTTCAAAAAAAACCAGGCAAAACATCATGTTTGTTACCCCGTGCAAAGATGACCGGGCCGATTTTGCTGGTAATTACCATGAATTCTGAACATGACACGTGCACAGATGAGCAGTTGGACAGGTGCAGATGACCGCCCAACCACGTGCACAGATGAACCCCCGCCCCCAAAATGGTGGGAAATCCAAGTCAAAGTTGTATGACATTCCATGCGGAATTAAATCAGCCACATTGCTGTCTTTGATTCCCTAAGCATGGGTGTGTGTGTGTGTGCTTTTGAGGCTTGGTGCCCTTTTTTGGTGGCTAGGAAAGCTAAAGATAAACCAAACGCCATTTTGGGGGTCCAAACCTCTATTTTGACTCCCCACAGCAGCTGCCCCGCAACTTAACACGGAATCCCAACAGTCTCTCTAAACATGATCTTTTGGAGGTGTCAATCAGGAAAAGTAGCGCGTGGGCCTCCAGCTTGCACCCCTTCAACCCCGACTTTGGGGGGTCGTTCAGGTCCGCTTGATTCAAAAAGTGGGGTCTACCGGGAAACCAAAGAACACCCCGAAACAATGTGATCACCTAATTGCGGCCACTCAAAATGAAGCCAAACTGGAAAACTGGTAAGGTCGAGTCGCTTTGGACTGAGGCAAGCATTGGAGTGTGTCTATTTCAAGACACAAATAGCAACCCAAAAAGCTGCCCCTCCCTCCATGGAACTGGACTGAGCGAGCTGCATTGTAGCAGGCCAGGTTTACATCAATGCCTGGCGACTGTTCACGCTCAAAACCAGGAGTCCTACTTCGGGACACGGTTGAAAATATAGTCTGGAAGAAACAATGGATCAACCCGGGAAGCCCAACATGCGTGATGTGGCCCTTTTCAAGTCAACCCAACAAAAAATGGTACTGTGAGGCTCGGAAAAGACTAGTGAGGTTGCGACAACACAAACCGCTCCATGTGCAATGCTCAAACTGTCCCTGACCCCACCAATCGAACAATCAAACCGATGAGTGCCACCCTAAACCCCTCAACGCATCCAAGACTTTTATGTTTATTGCCATTGCCGCGGTCGCTTTATTTTTCGGCTTGCTTGGTCTTGTTTGGCTTTTGGCTACAAGCACAAACCCGATAATGTGCGTTTGGCTCGCCTGTGCAAGAAGAAACAAACAAACACGAATAAAAACACGGGGTTTATTCGAAGCAGAGTGAGTCAACTCGCAGGCTGACAAAAATCGCCCCCCTACATGTGTGTTTGGAACCCAAAAAAGCTGATTCATGCTAACCGCCCCTCAAAAAAGAACAATAAACTCCCGAACCCCCTGCGGTTCAGCAAAGCCCGCTCCAATGTTGCTTTCCGAGAGCAGTCCACTTGGCCAAACTGGGGTACTGCACCCTCCAAAGCCTGTGGCTTGTTTTTTGTGGATCCGCACACTGCAAAAAGGGGGCATCTTGAAACGGCTGGACTACATGCAGAAGACCGGTCAAGATCTTGAGGGATGGAAAGCAACAAATGATCTCTCTACGAGTCGCACTCCCCATCACAACCTGGAAGAGGTCGTGTCGCACAAGTAGTGGCAGGTCAAATGGTATTGTACTGAAATGGAACCAACCACAAAAGTTGTTGATTTCCTTGTGGTTTCCCTCTATAACCTGCCAAACAGGGGTTCCTGAAAAGCGACCGAGAGACCCAAATTCCAACGGCTTGCTCTTTCCGGGTCTTTGGGCACGAGAAGGGTCCAAAACAATGAAAGAAATTAGCGGTCCAACAAATGTTGAATACATGCTGTTTTGATGCTTATTGATTTGCAGGGAGAGTTCTTTTGGAAAGGAATTCCTGTGTAACCGTTATTTTGAAATAACGTAATAACGTAATAAGCATTATTAAAATTATAATTTAGAAAAGAAATTATGCTTGGAGTCTTTCCTTGATAATTTCAGTAGTAGATGTCATAAGGACAGAATTCAGAAGTCCTGAAATCGCGTCTTTTGTTTGCTAGAAAATTATGCTTGAATTTGAATAGGATTTAATTGGGACTCAACAAGGAAATGCTTGAACAATTCTACCGGGAATTACATCTTACATTTAGACTTTAGACGGAGATCCTTTCCCAATAGAACTTTAGAATTAAATTAGAGCCTAAACATGATTTGACAAGGAATGAATCCAATCACAACTTCTATTTGATAACATAATTCTATATATATATAATTATACATAATGGCACAGCATGTTCTTTCCAATCGAATCTATTTACAATTTAGCTAACATTTAAACACGAACCTAGTTCAACTCGAGTTGCCAAACATGAACAAAGCGAGAGCAAAACGCTCACAGCGCCCGCCTCACTCGACTCAAGGTCCCCGCCCGCGCGCCCATCCCCGGGTCCCCGCGCGCCTTCCGCCTCTGCTTTGGCCATCCACTCCGCCGCTTTGTCACCCTCTCCAATCTCCGCCCAGGCGTTGATGATGGCGCTGTACATGATCCTCAATGCAGATTTGTGCTCCATGGGTGCTCAATGTGTCTGAAAAAGCTCAAGATATTTATCCTCCTCACCATTTACCCTCAAGAACCAGAGCTTCAAATCCAAATCCAGTCCAAACTGCCAACTGAGGCCCTATTACCCAAGGCGAATGATTTGTGTTCCATGGGTGCTCAATGTGTCTTAAAAAGCTTAAAAAGATGTTCATCCTTTTTTGGTGTCCTTCTGGGGAGGTGCTTGCTTTTTTGTGTGGGCTAGCAAACAGCGATGCTTGAATTCTGCTCAAAACTTAGCTATTCAGAAGCTGTTCCAAACCAGAAAAAATGGTAGGGGGATCCTATGGAGCAACACCGCGGGTTGTTCAACCACTAAGAATATCAGGACCGCACAGGATTTCCTCTTCGTGAAAACACATACCTCCCGCTTGAAGATGAGTTTCCTCTTGCCAAAGAGGGGGAGTCCATGAAAATGTGCTGGGGCAACACGTTCTTTGGTTCTTAGCAGCTGTCCAATCAGTTTCACAAAACCCAGTGAAGTAAACATCACTTGCGATCGGTTCGCTCCATAGGCAGGGAATGAGAGTTATGGACTGACCCCGATTTAAACCATCCTCTATGGTGTTCGATAGGCATGACCACAAGAAGAACCATCCATTTCCGATTTGGCTTTCTTTATCCGGCCATGCCAAAACGGTTCATTCAACCACAAGCCTTACTGAGCACCAAGATCAGGTCCCAGCGCAAGTTTTGGGGTTGTCTGGGTCCAACAAACACGAACGGAATCCGTCGGATTCAATTTCACCATTAGGACTCGAGCAAATACTCGTGCGATGGATATGGACCCACTTGCTAAGACCAAGAAATGAAAGCAGAATTGAGGCTGTGAAAAGCAGGGGGTTGGTTGTTTTTGGGAAATGGAGCTGAAGGCTCTCTTGTCGCTCACACCAGCGTTGAGGTGCCCGTCTCCAAAGCGTCATGCGGTGTGTTGTTGCGTTCACCATTTCATGCCAATGGTTGAATAAGAAGGCGCAGTTCTGGGCACCCGTTTGCACAGGAGGCGGAAATCAAGTCGGCCTAGCGCCACCCAGATTGTGTTTAATCTGCTCAACCTTCCGGCTGACAACCAAAGGTTCCGAGATCTTGATGCGTCCCTTGAAGCAAGTCTCCGCTTTCTTCCGGTCACGGGCCGTGGGCGTTTGGTTCCAGTTGACAAGTCTCGAAACTGACACGAAAGCCTTGGCCAAAAGACTCCAACGTGCCTCCGCAAATAGGATAAGTTTGTCGCAAAATAGCCAGAGTACTTCGAATCCCCATATAGTCTGACAACAGTTGGAGACAGCCAATCCTCACTGGAAAAACCCTGTCTAACATGTGTCAACCCAAAAAAACACACGTAAAAAACCACTGCTGAGCGGCCCACATTCTGGGTGTGAAAAAAACAGATCGGCTGATCATTCAAAAATATCTAGTCCTCCCGTACGCCCAGATGGTATCCCTCGAACCCTACGGAAAACCCTGCCCCTGAAAGCTGCCCTATCCCTTGATGCCAATCTGAGCAGATCTCTGTTGGGGAATACAAAAACCCACCCATTTGCGTTGATGGAGACCCGTCCCACTTCGCATCTCCCCAATTTGGGGGTCGGGTGTTTGAGGCTGCGGCAGGTCTGGCTGCAAGCCCTGCTGCAGCGCGTGCTGGAACCAGCGCTCCGCCCGCGGCACCGTATGGGCCTCGAACAATTTGCTGGTTCGATAGCTCAGGGAATGAGGGAGTGACCCCCTATAAACCATCTTGTGTGGGATTCGATCGGCATGACCCCAACAAAAACCGTCCATTTCCATGTGGTTTCCTTCAATCGGGACTCCCAGGTTCATTCCATTTCTCATTCCCTACTGAGCACCAGCAATTTACTGAAACAATCGTAACTTGGAGGAAACCCCGACGTTTGGCTGCAAAGAGCCGCGCTTGGATGGTAGTCGCTTCTTTGGTATACTCCTTAAGTACAAGACTTGAGTAGAATGAGGTTGTGCACATTAAAACCAAATTCAGCCAACCAATTTCAATTTGAACCCGCCTCAAGGTTTGGCCACACAAACACCCCCATCTCTCAAAACCCAGGAATGTGTTGTTTTTCTGTTTGTTTCTTCTTTTGTTCCTATTGGACAAGTTGTTCTGCGCTGGGCTGCGAGCCAACCAAGGCTCGGGGTTTGTGAGGGCACCAGGTTTAGGGGAGTCCTGTTGAATTTCACAACACCTGTTGAACCAGCCTGTTAACCTCACTTGCCCAGTTTGGAGCCAGACATGACAGGTGATCACCTTCTGGGGTCGCTAAAAATGGGCACCCAAAACGGGAAGCCAAAAGGTTGATTCGCTTTGGGCAGCTGAGCAAAGTGTCGCCAACTTGCTTGGCACACCCTTTAGCCTGCCGGAATGGTCCCGCTGCTGGAAGAGAGATGTATATAGGGACACCTGGGAACCCGCCGCAGATCTGCAAGTTTTGCAATATGTCCAAAACATGAACTAAGAATTGGATAGCAAAGGATCTGTAGCATGAGCTCGCCATAGAGCTACGCAGACATCAAGCAGAGCTCCCCCCCCTCTCCCCCCCCCAACCCCTCCCCCCGAAGCCTCGCAGCAGGCGCAAATCACAGAGGAGTAGGCCACCACCGAGGGCTCCAGGCCCTGCATCCGAAATCCGAGATCCGGCTCCCGGCTCCCGTTTCAGGCGCGTTAGCCCGCGAACACCACACCTTCTTTAGGAGGGGGGTGTCTTCTTTTGGGTTGGTAGCCCTCTTTGGTGGGTTGTTCAAGGAAAACCAAAAGGAGAACCGGAATCCATTTTAGGGGGTCCAACAATAGAAAACACACGTCGATACTTTGTGACCATGGTCAATGGCAGCTAATTCCCTTTTTCCTTTGTGCGGTGTTTTGTTGTGTCGGCGCCTCCATACCATGTGATGTCGGGTTTGTGGTGATTCGCTTCCCTTGCTCCCTGTCTTCGTGTTTTCCTTAAAGCACGGAAAGGTTGCTGCCACTGATTTGTCGGGACCATCTGATTCTTTTCGGTGGTTTCCCCTTGACTTGCTTTTGGTCTTCCTTTGGTTTCCGCTTTAAGCCATCAGGCTACCTACCGCAGCAGCCACCAAGTCAAGAAATGCATGTTCCTATGAAAGCCTCCCAAACTTAGGGGACCACTTTGGCTACACCGCATGGAAGCGAAAGCAAATGGACGCCAGATCCTTTCCCTTCCCCTACCCTTTTGTAGGGAGGGAATCAGTCTAAGCTTTGTTTGTATTACACCCTGGGTTACTAGCTCCGCTGGAAAGTGCCCCAGAGGTTTCACTCCCAAATTCCATTCCCAAAACCCCACGCATCAATGTGGGAAGGGGGTTGAGGGAGAGGTGCTGCGTGCATCTATTTGTCTGAGAACAGGAAAAAACACGTATGGCCTCAAGGGAGAACAAGGGGCCGAAGGCCCAAGCACCCTTCCATGTTCTGAAGTCCATGGTGTCCCTTCCGAAAATGGGAAGAGTAGACCCCCACGGACCAAACTGACAATTGAACATTGGAGCAACATCGTGAAAACCAGCGCTGCTTTTGGGGGCTTGAGGGCTTGAGTTTGAGGGTTTCGGGTGACAAGGTGGGAAGATTTCAGTGGCTCCCAAAGCGAACCACTTCACAGACCTCCGACAACTCCGAAGAGGCCCAGCATGACCCGGCGTCGCGCCCCCCAAAAGGACATGCCGAGTGGTTCTGAAAGCAAACAGGGCGGCAACCAAAAGACTTGCAACCTCTCATTTAAGTCCTATCAGGTACCATGAAGGCGACCATGGAGTTGCGGGAACTCTGAAACTAAAGTGATCACAGGAGCCACCCTCATTGCCTGGGGCCATTTGGAAGGATCCCCATTGCAAAGTTCCCACATTTGCAGCTTCCTCAATTGCGCCTTTTTAGGGGCCTGATCTTTCCTAACAATGGGAACCCCGGATCTAAGTAGAACCTACTAGGGGAGGTCAACTGCAACGGGGCACCACTCTAATCAACCAGCGGATCTTGGTTGGTGTATAATTCCGCTTAACATGCTGGGGCGTCGTTTTTGAGGCTCCCCGAATTTTGGTGTTTTTGGGGGAAACCAAAAGGAAAGCCAGTTCACTCCATCGGGGTCCCATAATTACCCATAAGTGGAGCCTCTTCTCTGTTTCTCTCTCCCTCTCTCTGCCTGCTCGCGGATGCTCTCCAGCCAGAACTCCGCGTCTTCAACCTCGGTTGAGAGACTGGTTCTTGGGGCTGTTTTCCACGAGCAAAGCCAACTACCTCAGTTCTTGCCCTGAACAAAGAAAAGCTTACGGATCTGTCTTTGTCTTGGGAACCCCTTGTTGGTTGGCTTTAAAGGGAAACCAAAAGGAAACCACCATTTTGGGGGGTCCCAAAAAGAAATGACATGCCCATAGGTTTCATGCTGGTCCATACTTAATGAACCTACAAAGGAGACTCCAGCAAAGGTAAACCCATTTTGAGGGAGGGGTCTGGACATAGCTTCTCAAATGAAGGACCCCTCAAGGTTGCCCATTGCGAGGCACATCCCTTGTTTCTCTGGGGAAGCAACCCCGGCTGAAGCCTCCCTGTCCGCTCGACGGGAGAACCTGACAGGCACCTGCAAACCTGGACCCCGTAGGTGCCATGGGAGGGGGTTTTCATCCGTGGCAACCTTCAGTGGGTTTTCTTTGGGCACCGGTGCACCCAGACCTTACGTGAGTTTACTTAGCTTTTCCCTAGTGTTGTTGCTGGGGTGGGTTCCCGTAGAGGAACCGGGGGCTCGAATCCAAATCCGAAAGCACCAATCCAAACCATCCAAGTCCAAACCAACGGTTTGGGTGGCCTGAAACGCTCCGGTGTTTCAGGAACCTTGTCTTTTTTGGTCGTCCTTTCCGCGGGGGTCCCCGTGCTCCCGACGCCGAAACCGCCCAAACCGCTTCGGTCTGCTCCCTCGGTGTTTGTGATCGAGGCTCCGGGCCATGCCTGCGGTGGCAGCGGCCGCGATCAGCTTGCCAAAGGTCCTGGGGCGTGGAGCATCGTCCCCAGCGAATCTGCTGGATGGTAGAACCCGGGGGAGAAGGGGCAGGTGGGGAAGAGAACCTTCTGGGTGGTTGGGGTGGGGGGAGGTGCGGGGAGGTGTGAGACTAGGGGAGAAGGGGGGAGAAGGCGGGAGCAGTGGGGCAGAGCATCATGGAGACACCTGAAAAAAGGAATCCCAAGCAAGGAGCCTCCGAAAAGACCCGCTGCAAAACGGCTTCAAATTCTCCCGAAGGATGGTCTTGTGTGTCACTCCGTGGGTCAGACCAGAAAGCCTGAACCAAACTCCTTCCCATCCAAAGTCCATGGAATGAAAGCACTGTATCCGCATGGCATACCGAAAGCAGTACCCGTTCTCGACGCCTTGTTTCACAGTTCTCGATGCCTTTTGTGGCAGGCCAAAGCTGCGGAAAGAGCCAGGAGTAGTATATGGTCGGACCCCCCAAAAAAATCATTGATTCCGGTGTCCCTTTGTGCCTTCTCTTAAACAAACCAAAACAAAAAGTATCGAAACGAGGACCCGAGCCGCCCATGTCGAGCCGTGCCAGAATTGCGCAAGACCTGAGGCCAACAGTTGGGCTGTTGGGTCCCTCAAATTCCCGTGTCCACGAGATCCTGCTGCAACCACTGGAAGCTGCTTGTTTGGGCAGTGGTCATGTGGCTTTGTTTTGAAAGGGAACCTCCTTTTCGGTGGTGGAAAAGGGAAACCACAAGGCAAAACGGAATTCTCATTTAAAAAAAAATGGTTCAGATGGTTGCGAAAGGGGCACCCAAAGTGATTGTCGCCTGAAATTGAAGGACAACCCACCCAAAAACATCGAACACGGTCAACATGGAATTGGAAACTGCTGGGAATGACTGTTGATCGTGCTGGCTTTGACACATTCGGATCTGAGCATGACTTCAGCTGCCGATCTTTTGGCGGACATCATTTACATGGGTGTGTTTTTGAGGGTGCCCTTTTGGTTGGCTTCAAGGGAAACCAAAACGAAAACCACCATTCCGGGGGTTCCCCAATGAGAGTCGCCTCGCGTTGGGCTTGATGTCAGCGGCGGTCATGCGGTCGTACCTAGCAGGCGTGGCGAACGAGCCGAACGTGCTCGCTGTGACTCTATTTGGGTGACCTGAATGGGTCAATGGTTGGTTTCCTTGTGGCTTCCCGTATAAATTAATCAAAAAGGGGTTCCACAAAAAAAAGACAGACCCAAATAAGTTCTAACAAATTGGTAGGATGCTACCCAGATTGTGCTTCGGTGCAAGCCGGGTGGTATCCCCAACAGCAACCCCCGTTGCCTTCCGGAACCCTAGAGCCGCTCCCAACCACTCCAGAGCCTATCTGAGCAAAGACCCAAAGCTTGCAGCGGTATCAGAAAACCTTTACGGGTTCAAAAGATAACTTTCAAACGGTGTTACCCCCTGCAGGGCGTCCTGTTGTTTTCCTAGTCCGCCAAACTGTTGCTTCCGAAAGGTCAAAAGAACGTCAAAAGAGCAGGCGTGATTGTAACAAGGAAACAGGACATCGCTCTCAGTTGTCGCTAGAAAAGCGACTGCGCGTCAAAACGAGCGAACCCTTTTGGTTCGGGCAGAGAAGGGAACCGACACCATGAGGCATGGCTTGGAAAGCGATGGAGTCCCGCAGCTTGCTCAATCCGGTACGCGCTCTGGACATAGGTTCTGCAAGTCGCTTGCAACAGCCACCCGGTGACATGGATGGACTGGTTCCTCGCCCTTTCTGCGTGAAGCCATCGGGCATGTTGTCCCGGATGATTGGCAGCGCTGCGTTGACGCCAACCTGTCTAGCCGCGCCCTCTCCATTTCATGCAGGGCCCTCTTCAATACATTGGCAAAAAGCCGTGGGAAAGTGGGTGGTTTCTGAAGTGGTTTCGCTGCACAGCCAAAGAGCCACGCAACCTCAAGTACAACACCTTCGGGGATCCTCTGGTTGAAACAAACACCCAGAAGTGTGCATTCACAAAATTCCGGTGCGACGGCTGAGGTCCTCTTGAGGACGCATGACCATTGTCAACCTTCAGCCTACTGTGGTCATTACGCACTCCAACATCACACGCCATGGAACCCTGGGGAACATCCAAATCTCAGTCCTAAGGTTCGTTTTGAAGAAGTCGGGAACTAACGACTCTGACCTGAATATGTGTTTTACGGATTGCGCAGCCCAAAGCAAAACTGGAAAACCTGTGATACTGCAAACCTTGAAAACACATGGTCAGTTTTGCTGTGATCGCCAGAAACACATTTTATAACGACCTGGCTGACTGGATCTAAGTTGAGACTGTTGATGAAATCCTCACAGCTACACTTTCCTTCCAACCGATAGGTGTGACAAGCAAATGGGACTCCAATGGCATAGCTGGTCTAAAGCAATTTGCTCTGCAACTCTGTTTGAGCCCAAAACTCCATTAATTTCCTTTTGGGAGATAGACCCATTGTCGGAGTTCCTTCTGGCAAAAGAATTGCAGGCCTCTGGGTTTTCAAGGTAAACAAACCAAGGGCCATAAGTGCCCCAAGAGGCATCCATCCCCAGCGTTCCCCCAAAAGAGGGCGCACCACTGCAAAGCCTGCGCATTCTTGCCGGTAGTGCCCGCCGCCTCATGATCAAAATCGCACGCGCGCCGCAAGGATCGTAAAACACTCCCTCCCCTAAACCAGGAAATAGAAGCGGCTGCTTTCTTGGTTCTTTACACACGGGTTTGGGTGGACCCCTCTGATGCGGTGGATGCCATGAAAAGTACTGCAAGTAGGGAACCAGGAAACCCCGAAAAAGACCCCCTGGCGCGTGCTTGGTGTAATTGTGATATTTAGGGCGTCCACCTTACCAGGTTCTGACGACTCAACTGGGATGGTCCTCAATTCCTCAAGATGTGACTCTCCAGACTCAGGCCCCCCGGTGAAAAGCAGCTTGGCTGCAACCGTTGAAAGGGACAGTGGAAAGCCAAAAGCTCGAGGCTAGGGTCAGCCCAGGTTTTCACAGGCCCGAGGAACCGGGAACGGGATGAACGGTAGGGCGAATCGCCCAGAGAGGGGATCGAATCCAAAGGGCGTGATGAGCCGCGCGGCGTGTCTCTGAAGATCCAAGTGTTTGCTCCATAGCTTCCGAGCCATTCTCAGTTACTCAGTTGCTATGCAAGTTGAGAGTCTGGGGGTGCAGGGTTCCATAGATTTCCCCAAACGGAGCTTGAGAACGTGGCGCAAGGTCCCAAGGTCGCACGCCTGACTGGTGGAGCCTCTGCGAGTGAAGGAGTCCAATGACGAGCCAGGCGATTCCGTTCGATACGCTGGCGGTTGCATTTTTGTGGCGATTCTTGTTGGCCTCCCGTGGTGCGCGGCTTTCTGCGTGCATCGTTTGGGTCCGCTCCACTTCCCGACTGCTCAGCTGCCTGGGCTCCACCGAGTTGTCAGCTCAGGTATGAAATCGAAGCCTGGAACATCGAAGAATATCGAACTAGAACATCGAACCCTTGAAGAATACTGGATCATGGGCATGGCAAGGTCGCGTGTTTCTGCTTCTGGGGCATGGTTCGTCATTTGAACAGGGGCAAAGGCATGTGCCAATGGCGCATGACATCCTGCACTGCCTTGGAGTGAGGCTCACACATGGTCAACAGCCTCCTTTGTCATCCCAACAGTTTGGCATGCAGCTAAATATATGCATGAGTGTGCTTTTGAGGGTACCCCTTTCTCGGTGGATTTAATAAAGGGAGACCAAAAGGAACCCAACCGGAATCGCTTCGTGCAACGCCCGACCCCCCCCCCTCACCCGACGCCTTGATGGCGTTGTTGAACACAAACCTGGCGCAAGCTGCCGCGAGCTCCCGCCCGCAAGATCAACCGCCCCTCAGCTTGTCGGGAGCCTTGCACCGAAACGAAAAACGAAACGGGAGAGTCAGAGAACCGCGCGTGGGTGTCGTGGGGCTACCTGGAAAGTTCCACTCCAAGCAAAACCAGCCGATAGAGCGAGAGAGAGAGAGAGAGAGTTCACACTCCAACAAGCCGAGCCGCGGCAACTCGACCGAATTGATTTGCAACCCACTATGAGGCCCTGTTCGTTGACTGAAAAGTGCCAAGACCAGAAATCTCCTTGCCTCACGAGGAGAGCCCTTTCCAACCCCAATACGGCAGCCGCCTGCGACAAAAACAGGGGACCACCGCGACTGGCCATCTACAAGGGGGCCTGAATGAGTTATCTTGCTAGAAACCTTCTGATGTTGTCTAGTCCTCAAGGGTCCGTGGACCAGCCCTAAGCCCAAGTACCCCGGCTTCATGACTTTGACTTACGACAATGGCTGAGACGCAAAAAAAGGGGGAAGCATCGCCAAACAAAATGCAAAAGGGCTGGCGCAAATGAGGGCTGCACTTTTAGAGGTGATTTTTGCGTGCAAGGTGTTAGTTCCCTTTCGGGTTGGTTTCAAGGCAAAAAGAAAAAGCCCGGCAAGGGAAGCCGAAAAGGCTGGGGCTCCGACCCTCTTGTTGGAAGAGCCCACAAAGCAGGCGCCGGTGTCTGGGGCTTTCTGTTCCCGCATTGCTCGAGCTGTAGGAACCATTCCAAATCCTTCCCTTCGCGGGCCAGGAGTTGAGAAAAGAATTGGGCTCTGAGCTCATCCGGGATCTTGGACCATCGCCCAATGGGCAAGTCTCCCAATTTTAACCCCAGGCTTCCAACGATCTTCCCAGAATGGCCTTGGCCCTCTTCTGCAATTATGGGTGGTTCCTTTGAGGATACTCATTCTGGAGTGACTTAGGGAAACTCAACGGAAACCAGAGATGTGCGGTGCCCTAATTTTGAGACATCCATTTGCTTGCCGGATCGCGGAACGGATTTGGGTCTTTGCTGAAGCAGGCGGAAAAAGCCCATGCTCATCTGCTCCAGTTTCCTTTGACAAAGCAAGGCGCATCAGCCGTTGGGCCGGAGGCTGCTGCCTGACATGGACATGAGACAATGTTGGAGTCCTCTTGATATTGGTGATCGAGATTTAACGTGTCCACTGTGTGCCGAAACCAAAATTACCATAGACAGGATGACAAAGGAAGCGTCATT